TTGGCAGTGTGATCAAACTATTATGATAATAAAGTTATGTGGATTTGAGCAAAAAAGATACAACATCACTGAATTAAATCAGAACATGGAGCAGGGGGGAAGAAGAGGGCAAAGTGTGCAGGGATCTGCTACAAGTCACATTGGTCGTTCAGATAACACGCATGTCTGGAGAATTCTGTGCTGGAAAGAGATTGCCACAGTTAGAAGAGAGACTTTGCTTTGAAATATATTAAGCCAAAATGTAATGTCGTGTTCTTTTTGCCTGAATTGTTTTGTTTGCTCTCTTATTACCTCTTGATCTTTTACCGTGTTAGTTGTTTTGCATACCTTTCTCACTGATGTCTCTGTACATTTTTTTTTCTCTAGTGCTTCCAACCATTTTAATCCTCACCAAGTCACCAGATAAAATCAAATTGTTGGTTACCTTGCACATGTCTCTTCAGTAGTACAGTACAACTGTTACTTAGTTTTTTAAGACAGAAGACATATGATTTTGACCAGGTTAAAGATGCCTGGGTGAAAAACCAGACATCTTTAACCTGGTCCTTTGGGGCCAAAGGGTAGTGTCAACAGTTCAGAGTCTAAATTTACAGTTACAGGTGGCCAATTTACAAGTGGTGTTCCATAGCAGTCAGTACTTTCATCAACAGCCTGGAGGATGGGTTGGAATGCCCTCTCAAGTTTGCAGATGGCCACAGACCAGGGGGAGGAGTTGACTGGAATTCCAGTTGGAGAAGGGGCCTGGAGAAGCTTCATGAAGTTCAACAGAGTTTAGTGCTTGGGACAGAAGGCTGAGAAGCAGCTTGGTGAAAAAGGACCTGGGTTCCTGCTGGACAGCAAGTTGAATATAAGTGAGGAGTGTGTCCCTGTGGTGGTGAAGATTAACCACATTAAGAAAAGTGCAGACTGTGGATCAAAGGAAGTAATTATTGCCATCTGTGTGGCATTGAGAACACTGTGTCTGGTTTTGGACCCCCCGGAGGAAGAGGGAGTCTGAAGAACTGGGTTTTGTCCAGCGAGGGTCATTAATGTGATCAGTGTGCTGCAGCACAAAGCATGCAAGGAGAGGTTAGGAGATCAGGGTTGTTTCGCCACACAGGGGCCTAAGGGGGTGTCTTCAGCTATCTAACCACAGTTTGTAGAGAACTCAGAACCAGCCTTTTCTCAGACATGCACAGAAAAAGACAGCAGGCAATGAACACAGATTGCAGCAAGGGAAATTTTAAATAGGTGTAAGGAAAAAATGTTTCGCTATCAGAGGCCCAGAAAGCCTCTGGAATTTCCATCCTTGCAGATACTCAACACCTGACTAGAAAAGGCCCTGAACAACCTGGTCTAACTTTAAGCTTACCGGAGCAGTGGGTTGAGCTAGGTGACCTCCAGCGATTCCTTCCAGAATTCATTATTTTGTGTATGGGCACAAGTTTTGAGAGGTTCTCCTGCTTACGTGAATGAAGCTGAATGAGCATAGACAATAAGGAAGCACCAGAACTTTGGTGTATTTCTGTTACTGTCACGCCTTATTTATCCTTGCCTCTCACATGCACTACACATACAGTTTTAGCTTATGCTGTAAGTTTTACTCTCCGGGCACCTTAATTTGGATCTTCTGTTTGCTAAGCTACTTGCTTTTGCAAAATAAACTAATCAGTTTTATCTCAACTTTTTCTGTTAAGTTGGGTTGAACCTGGATAACAGAGTCAGAGTTACCAGGGAGAGCACAGTGCTTTGAGTACCAATGCAACTGCTTAAGGCTCATTTTCTCAAAGATATCAAGCAGGAAAATAAATGAAGTAGGCTAAACCAGTGTACCCAGGTGACTAAATTCTTGTCTAGGTGTTTTACCAAATATATTCTTCAAATACTTGCATCTTTCATGTTCCCTTTTATTTTATTAAAGAATCATATCATAAAAGTCCATTGTAACTTCTTTTGCTAAAAGTCTTGGGATCAGGAGCTAATCACCACTGCCTGATCTCTTGAAAACTATTTGCTGGGTAAAGTCTTTCTGGAGTTTTATCTAGGAACAGCAAGAATTGAAATATACAGTGAAGCACATATACAGTGAAGCACATATACAGTACCTCAAGTTCTAGGTTTGTCAGTCAGCCACAGGAAATTTTTCTTCCACTTCAGTGGAATATTTCTTTCTTCCTTTACTTCATTTCCAGATGAAACATTCAAATAAAGCTGTATCACACTGTAACCATTCTTTTCAGTAAACAAAAACTGGTTTTAGGTAAGGAAAACTTAGTACCTGTTAAGCTTACCCTTCAGAGGGGAATACATTTCAATCCTCTACTGAAGTAACATGGCCTTTTGGGGCAAAGCAAAACTTGATTGTATAGCTAACAAGAAGGGTTTAAAATATTGCAAATACTTTAGTTTTTCCCTAACTCATAGGTTTCAGCACTTAAAATACACTGTAGTTTTGCTTTTTCTTTCCATAATCATAAGCACCTCCTTGAGGGGAGAGGGAGGTCTGTTCATCAGGAGCCTTCTAAGCAAGATACTTTCTAGGAGTTAAACTGGGTTTATTCATAAATTCTGCCTGCCTGCTAAGCCTAGTTAAATGCTAAAGGTGGAATTATTGTTTGTCTGTCATCCTTCCCCCATCTGGGTTGATTTCAATGCAGTTTCAGAACTCAAGCTCTGAGCTTGTTTGCATGCAAAGCCATAGCTGTTCCAGCTTAATAGAAACTCATGAGATACAGCATAGGCTAGCAGAAGTAGCTTTTCTGCAGGCAGACTTATGTGACAGAGCTTGAGAGTCATGAAAAGTTACTTCTGAAATCTGTTTTTACTATTATCTTTTCAGCTGTGCAGCTTCTTGCATCACTTCCATGAGCCTCATGTTTCTTTTTGTCTCATGTTTCTTTTCATTCTTTGAAAATTGTTAAAACTGATTGATCTGAATTATTTTCTGCTAAGATGATAAAGACTCAATGTAATACCATGCAACTGTTTGCACCTCTTCATATGATGTAATGTATTACACCCTATAAAGAACTGGAATTAAGTAATCAGCCCTTGTGCTTGTCTGCTTGCTTATATACAGTATAGCTAAGTAGGTCTTTCTTCTCTCCTTCACTCTGAGATTCAAGGCTCAAACTCTATTTCTTTGTATGATAATTTGTTGGAAGGAGAGTGTTATTTATTTCTTTTCTTTAATCTCTCACCAGAGAATTCAGTACATATCTGGTGGTTTTCACTGGCTTTCTTAAAAACATCTCTGTTCAAGATAGCTCTACATGTCCAAATAGCCTATACAATTCTGTGACTACGGCTGATACAATTAGTGCAAAACTGACTTTGACTTTTTTTTGCCCTCTAAAAAAGTAAGAGGTCAGTATCATAAGCCAGAACCAGTTCTCAAAGAATATGAAAAGGAAAGCAGTGACAGAAATACAATTCAAGCCTGTTTCGGGGGGGGGGGGGGGGAGGTCCCATTTGTTCTATTTGTTCCCTACTTTGTTTATTGTCTTCTAGGTTTAGATGTAATGACTCATTTATGTTTGGCATCCTTTTGTGTATCACGATTCTATCACTGTAGAACATGGTATTGTTCTTGGTGAAACTTTTTAATACCTTGCCCTGAGGTACAGGGAGTGTCTGCTGCCTTTGTTGAGGATGTCAGAAGTTTGTGAGTTTTTTGTGATGGATTAGGAGAGTGTGTTTACCTAGTTCTTCTCTACTGGCATGAAAAATCTATGCATTTGTAGTGTTATTGCTTCTGTTGAGAATTTATTGCTGTTAGAACAGCTTGCTTAGAAGGACACAAAAAGCCTTGCTGTGCTAGAGCTTCACCCTTTATTGTCTGGGGGTCACACACTCCAGGTTCAATGAATGACTGTCTAATTGAATCTGTAATTATTTCCTGCTAACAGTAGGAATCGTTTGGCAATGCCTTCTGTCTCAGGGAACACTGAATGATTAATGGTGAATGATTACCAAATGATGTTTAACATTGTTAGTAGGTCAGATACACATAGGTTCAATAAAAAGTCTTCTATCTTTCTTTGTTATAAAAACTTAGTAAAGGTTACTGTGCTTTTGGCAGAAAGGCAATTTCAAGTAAAAAAATCTTGCCGCATACATGCAAAACTTAATCTTTCCTATTAACTATGTTGCATAGCGTTTTAAGACCCGTATCCGATTATACTAGTTCCTTCCAAGCATGCAGTACTGACAGAGCTTACCCTTCTGTTAGAATAGCTTCATGTCAAGCCTGAGCTGGTAGATGAAACACAGATAAGTAAATATGGTAAAAAAGAATACAGTGATGCTTTTTCTGTGTAATGTCTCCAACTGATAACAGAAAAGGATTAACATGTACCTTTTTAAGGCTTCTTTTCTGTGGAATGGAGGGAAGATTAATTTTTAATATTTTCCAGAGAGGTTGTGCTGTTTCCACCCTTGGAGATTTTCAAGAACTGCCTTGAGCAGACTTGCTCAAGTCCTTGAGCAACCTGGTCTAATCTTATAGCTGACCCTGCTTTGAATAGGAGGTTGTACTAAAGATCGCTTAAGGTCCCTTTCAGCCTGAATTATTTTATGGTTCTAATATACAACTAGAATGTTTCTAAACTTCAAAGTTTCAGTCTGAAGATACACTTTAAGGTTTCAAAGAAACTGGAGAATCAGAACTTGATCTGCTTTTCGTCAAAATTGTTCTAATAGTTGCAGAGTAAACTGTACTATCTAACTTAAATCAATAGTTTATGAATTAAAAGCTTTAAGAGAATTTCCTAAAATTTGTGGAACGAGAAGAGAGCATTACCAAGGAAGTCCAGAAAAGATTCAGTTGTATCCTAGGGAGTGGATGGGTATAACTGAATTTTGTACCCTTAGCACAAGAGCCGTTTCTAAATCTGACCCTCCTCTGCTTGGCATAAAAAGATAGGATGGTGTCCTACTGGCATGTTCTGCAGTTCACTGGAGTCTGCTGTTAGATTTTTACTTTCGAGGTCCCTGAATGTTCTTCAAGCAGAAGATTCTGCATGGTGCTGGTGAGAAAGAGCCATTTTCACAGGAATGTCATCATTGCCCAGTCAGTTACACTGGCTTACTCATTGTACAATTAAGTTGGATGTATTACTGGGTTTCATCTTAGCTTGGCCACAGTAGATTACTTTTGGAAACAGGCCACTGATGGTTAATTAAGATAGTTGTATATTCTAGCTGAGCTTCTACTGCAAGGGAGAGCCTCCAACTTGTGATTCCTTAAGAACAGCCACTAGTGTAGTGCTCAGGATTCTCTACTCTGCTGGTTTTTATTGGGGTATATTCAAATCTAAGTAACTTTTCTGCATGTTCTTCTCTTTTTTAATGTATTGTGTTGCTGCAGTGACATTCTTTGTATTTGTAGTTTGCTTTGAAATAAACTGGGTTCTGCCTAGGTTTCTTCCTTCACAGCGTGGTCCCTTCTGTGATTTCTAAACTACATGTGATTGTCTGTCTCTTAAAATCACTCTTCCTAAAAGTGAGCTAACTCAAGAAAAGGCATAGCTCTGGCATTAGAGTATCAGAGCAGGAACTAAAGAAATGTTATTATGACTAACATAGTGGGTATTTTACTGAGAGGTATGTTCTAAAATGCATCGTTAGTCTAATTCTACAACCTCCACAAGACAAAATGTGGTTCTTTCCCAATCCGTCAAGAAAAAAAAAGTAGTTATAACTGACAGCAAACTGTACCAAAATATTCTTTGCTCACCTTAATTACAAAACTTCATGTATCTGAACCCAGGCTATATGGATATTTGGGTTGATGGTAAAAAATGACTATCAGTTGTCTTGGCACTGTATTTGTTCAAAAGAATAAGTGGTAATTTATTGTTCTTTAATCTTACGTGTTCATAGAAAATTCTGTTGTTGCAGGTTTTTAATGCAAAAACAGCAGAGCTATTGAGTCACCATCAAGTTGAGATACAGCAGAAATTCCCTAAAGAAGGGTATGAATGTTCTGTGTTTTTTCAATTGTTTGTGTACATTTTGGTAGAGTCTGTGTGTTTTTTATCTATGAATGATCAAAACTGAAGTTGATAAATAATTATTAAGACAGTATCTGCTATAAAAGACTGCGTGGTGGTAAAAATGGCATTAAAAAACCCACACTGGGTGTCCGGTATGTGCTTTGAATTATGTAAACTAAAAATACTTAGTGTTTTACTCTGACCACTCATTAACATATTTGCAGTTTAAACTTTAAAGTCTAAAACTAAAGTTTAAACAAGATTTAAAGTTTCATTTAAAGTGGTAAAGCTGGTAATTTTTACAATTTAATCATAGCCTTAAGCTTAGTCCTTAGAAATTGTTTAGTTTGTTCTCTGAGGTGTTTTTTGTTTGTTTGCTTGTTCTTAACTGACCTACCATGTGCCGCCAAAGCCCTATGTATAGAATAAAGCAAAACAAAATGCTTTGTTTTCTGCAGATAGTTTTGTTGTGAAAATACAGCTTACTGTTTAAAAAGGGGTTGAAATTCATTACACTTTTTCTAGATATGTAAAACATACTTTGTAGTTTTGATTGTCTCAAAATGCTCAGCTGGTTTTTCAGACTAGAACTTCTTTTTTTTCCTAAATGTAATTTTTTGTCTCTTATTGACTGGTGTTTACTGTTTGTTTAAGATGGGTGGAACAAGATCCAAAGGAAATATTGAAGTCTGTCCTTGAATGTGTGGAAAGGACCTGTGAGAAACTGCAACAACTGAACATAGACATCACTAACATAAAAGGTATTCCTAGTACTTATGGGTAACTGAAGGCTTTAACATACTCATGGTTGAGCAAGTCAGATTCTCTAGTTTTTAAGTCAATAAACAGAAAGGTGGCAGCATGTGCTACCCTCAAAGAAAATGTTAGATTGGCATTGAGAGCAGTTTGTTTGGGAAGAATAATAAGAAAGTAAGTCCTTCGTGTATATTAGCAATGCAAAATGTACAAAGTAGACTTAACCTAATCTTGCAAAATCACAGAGACAAGTGATGAATGAAGAAATTCTGAAATTTAAATTAAGGCTTACTGGGAAAAGCTATTTTCCCATCAGTGTTGTGGCTGTCTCAGTTTGTGCCAAAAAAAAAAAAAAAAGAGAGATTTAGAGCACATAGGTTAAGCAGTAAAAGTTGAATGATGAGTTTTTAGAAGCAATATTTCTAGATTTTAACATGAAAAAGTTGGACTCTTTTTATTTCCCGTTTACTTTCCTCTTCTCCTTACCTGTTCCTCCCTCCTCTCCACCTCTCCCTTCCCTCCCTCACCCCCTAAAAGGGGAAAACAAACCTTCTGAAAAGGATACTTCTTTCTATTTTGTCCTGAAGCCATTGGAGTCAGCAACCAGAGAGAAACAACAGTGGTTTGGGACAAGACAACCGGAGAACCTCTTTATAATGCTATTGGTAACTTCTATACTTTCTGATATGTAGTATCATAAAATGAGCATGCTGTAGAAAAATGCTTTCTTTTTTTATATCTGTGCCATAAGCTGTGTGTTTGTATACACCAATGCAATTAAAAAAAATCCTATTGCATTCCTGAGGGGTTTTGTACATCCCTGGCACGTAATGAAGCTCTGACTTATACCAAATCACTTCCTTTTAAATGAAGGAGCTTACTAAATTTTCAGGATGCTTTTGATTTAACTTTAAAGGAAAAACATGTTAGGTAGGTTTAATGAATACTTATTGATTTAGAGTTTTATTTTTCACTTACCTTGGCTTTTCAGATTATGTCAGCTGAGAAATGGTAATTGTTTAGATTCGCTCTTTTAGGCCATGTCAAGTGCCAGATTTAGTTTAGTATAGCGTCACTGAAAAAACAGGACTCTTCTGTATTCAAATATATGTTGTTTACAGCTTTATGTTTAGCCCAGCTGTACCTTGATAACTGACATAGCGCTTCAGTTCAAAGTTTTCATAGAAATAGTAAATAATCAACCTGCTATTTGTTTTAACCTCCTAGTTTAATGACAGTCATCCGATATAAACAAAGTAGCATTAGTCATTTGCTTATGCTCTGGTAGAGAAAAGTATACATCCTATTATGTGGAAAATCCTGTTTGAGGTCTGAAATTATTTGTTCTTTTAAATCAAATGCAATTATCTAACCATTTTTAGTTTTTACAATAGTACATTAAAATACAGTGGCAATACAATATTCTTTCAACTACATGAAAAGCTAAAAATAAAGACAGGAATTTACTGGCAAGAGCTCTGCTTTTGTAGAAGAAGCCTGTACATGTCACTTTTTGTGTATTATATGAGTTGATCAGTTAGTTTCACTTGTGTTTTTAGTGTGGCTTGACCTGAGAACCCAGTCAACAGTTGAACGGCTTCTTAAAAGAATTCCAGGAAAAAACAAAGCCTTTTTTAAGGTAAGAAATATTCCAGAACATTTAAATAGTAGCTGAACTCTTATTGCTCCAATATATAATGTTTTGGAGATGTGTGCTTGAAATTCCCCAAAACATAGTCAGTCAGTTGTAGCTTCTAGTCCCTTCTTAGCTTGTTAAATAAAAAATGTGCATAATACTATACTACAGATTTGAGACTAGAAAATATTTATTTTCCTCAAAGTAAGTGGTTAACACTCCTTACTTATCTCACTAGAGAAGTTAAATGAGTAATCGCTATGAGACTTAATCATGTGTTACCTATCCAATGATAAGTAAACATCACACACAAAAAGTAAGAGCAAATAGAAAAAAAACTCTTTGGAGAATAAGTCATTGATGTGAAATATATTATCCTTTCTCATCTTATGCCTTAATAGTGAAGTTAATTGCAACCAATCTGAGAACTAGGAAGCTACTTTATAAAGAGCAAATACATCATTTTTTTTATATGGGTGTACATATATATAACAATTTGGAAAAAAACTGCTTGCAAAAGGGTGTCGTAATTCTTTGATTTATGTTTTCCTTGATTTATTGTATAAATATTACATATCTTATATATTGTGTATTTTCCTATAGCCAGGAAATGGATGTCAAAAAGCATCTAAACTGACTTGTTTTTTAAGTGCTAGTAAAATACAAATTCCATCTTTCCTGTGCTGTGCTGCTTGTTTTTGTTGTCATTACTTGCTGTCTAGTCATATGGAGATATCCTAGATAAGGCAGGATTTCTGCAAACAGTTACTTCCACGTAAATGGTCTTTGAACTGCATTTAGACCAACTTTGATCTTTGTCCATTAATGCACTGGTCATTTGTTTTTGATATTTTCAGACTTGTGTATTGTATGCTTAGTACTTATTTAAATAACAAGCTTATGTCATTTCTCTGAGTTTTGTGTCTTTGGTTTTTCAATTACTGTCATCATTTTTATGTATAAATACAGTATTCATGGAAAAGATACTTGCATGGTCTTTAAATGACTTTTTAAAATTTTCTTTATGTTATTTTTTTTTTTACAGTTTAGGACTGGTCTTCCACTTAGCACTTATTTTAGTGCAGTGAAACTTCGATGGCTTTTGGATAATGTGGAAGAGATTAAGCAAGCAGTTGATGATGGAAGAGCTATGTTTGGGACTATTGATTCATGGCTTATATGGGTATGTATTTGTGAGTTTATTATCACTCTTTTTAAAATTAATTTCCATATCATGCAAATTTCCATGCAAAGTACTATGACACATGATGCCCACTGATCACACAGTGGTGTTAGTACAAGCCACTAAAAGAACTTCCATTAAAGTTCCCTACAAGATGAACTTTTACTGTTCCTGTATCACTATATTCTTTTCATAGATGCTTATATGTAGTTTACCATTTATAGGTTGCTGTAAAATTCTGCTCATGCTTTTGGAAAAATCTTGGACTTCAGAAAGATCTGTTAGCCACCTTTGCAATATAAGACTCCAGGAGGTACAGCTGTACCCTTATTACCTCTCTCACGCCTTTTTTCCACTATACCAGGTCTTCCTCTTTAGTTGTTGCAGAAATATCAGAGTTCCCAGTCCCAAGCTGAAAGCTTTGTGAATGTAGAAATTTTTTTTTGTCCTCTGTTAAAGTAAACCTGTATCTTTTCTTGGCAAATACTGTTGATATTTTTTTTGTTCAGAGTTTGACGGGTGGAAAGAATGGAGGCGTTCACTGTACAGATGTAACCAATGCCAGTAGAACAATGTTGTTCAACATTCATTCCTTGGAATGGGATCCCGAGCTCTGCCAGTAAGCTCAGTTTTTCAGTAATACTGTTATTTAAATAGATTCTGTAAGTGATGTGTAAAGCAATAGTAACAATCTCTTATCTAGACTAAGATCAGCAATTACTGTTGTATTTACTGTTAACATTAATAATTAAGATTCATTATTCTCCAGATGTCCAAATTACAGCTGTCTGGATTAATTAAAAGTAGCAGAGCCTTGATTTTTATGTAGGCGGAAGACTGGTTCATGGAAACGTTTACATTTAATAGTTTCTTTATTCCTTAATCAAATTTGTAAGTCAGTTACAATGATAGTCTCTCTATTTAAATTTAAATTTATTAATAGCAATATTTTAAAGATATTGTTGGAAGAGGAATGAGTTCCCACATGAGAACGGAGATTTCTTCAAAACATTCAAACACATGGTGTTTTACTCCATAATTCAGTGTTACGTACTGTAACGAGTGGAAAAACACATAGTGATCGATTAAACCCTAGAAATCAAAGTCCCTTTTATGTTTTTTTTCTTGACAGTTTAGACTTATTTAAGAAAACAAATGCAAAATGCTTTCTGATTTAGCAGTGACCATATGTAAATTATTTTGTATTGTCTTCAGGTTCTTTGATATTCCTATGGAAATACTTCCAAAAGTACGAAGCTCCTCTGAGATTTATGGCCTGATGGTACGTTTTCTTGTGTGTGTGTGAAATTAATCTTGTAAAAATATATCAATATACATTTTGCAGAATTTCCATAGATCAGGACTAATGGCTTTTTCTAGACCAGTATTGTTTGATTTATGATTAGTGTGTCATTATCTACTGTAGTGTAATATTGCATGAAGTTGAATATCTGTTGTTTTCTCTTTTAAGTGTCAAATAGACAAGACAAAACAAAACAGGAGAGGTTTTTGATAAGGATAAAAATTAGATTTTTAAATTACAATTACTTATTGATTTAGAAACTACCCATCACAATGCAATGTATAATCAGTAGATTAAAAGAATGAGAGCACAATATTTTTACTTCTTGTACAATTGAAAAGAGATTAAGATTGCTATGGATGTCTTCATGATCTAAGAAGACTGGACGAGATGTTTAATGTCTTATTTCTACATAACTGAAGGCAAGATTAGTCAGTTTCTGTGAACTGGAAAATCTCAAGTGACACCTTAGATTGCCTTCTTTTTTGAAAAATAAACTACTCTTGCTGTGTATATTTACATAGCATTCAGTAAAAAAAATATTTTGGAATATTGCAATGTCTTTTTAATTACACTCCTTCCAGTGCAGCTGTGAATACTACTTAGGAGTAAATCATTAATTGTTGTCATGGGGCTGAGGTTTCCAGTTTACTTTGATGCAGCACCAGCTCTTCTTATGCAGTGGCATCTAATTTATTCTTAAAAGCTTCAGAATCAGATAAACTGGATGTTGTGATTTTGCATTCTTTTTCCTGGTAGTTTGCCCTATAGTTTACTAGGAACATATAGGCATTTTGTAATTAAAACAAGTTATGAGATTTTTATCTAAAATATAACTCTAACTTGCCTGAAATTTTTGCTCATCTGTTAATGGAGATGCTACTAGAAGTCATTGCTGACGTTTATTAATGTGAAGGTCAGATGAGAGTGAGTTGTATTAAACTGAATGGGTGAGGTAAATGCAAAAAGATACTACCTGGCAACTTGAAACAGAATAGAGGGTCACTTTAAATGTGAACTTTTGTTTCTCTTCCCCTTTTCTTCCATTTTTTTATTTTCTTCTTCTTTTTGCTGACTGTAGAAAATCTGTCCTAGCCTGGTGAGTAGAGGCTTCCATTAGGCTGACCACCTATATCTTATCCATTCTGTTCAGATGCTGTGCATTTCCATTGGTTTAAGGATTAGTAAAAGCACACTTTCTAGACTAATAAATTTGGTGGGTATTTCCAAATTTGAGATATTGCAATTAGAGTTCATGCTAAAGTTGTTTCTAAAATGTAATCCTGCTGTATGCATTTGCCTTAATTTGCAGGCTGTTGAATATTTCTTTTAATAGTGAAGTAAAAAATACAGCTACTGGCTAATAAATGTTGGCTGTCACATTTTATAAATGAGAAAAGTGGGCCATTCTGTCTACAAATAGTCATTCTAGTATAGTGAAACATCAGAATCATGAAGTGGTTTTGAGTGCATTTATAAACTAAATTATCTTAAATCCAGTTAATTAAAATGAGAATTAAAGAAAAACAATATTCAGATTGGAAATGCACGTGCATAACTTCACTGAAAATGCATTTCATAATTGCATGAAGAAACAATTTAAAGAAAGAAGTAAAAGTTTCAGTATATAAATTTCTTATGTTGCCTATTGCAAGAATGCAACTGAAAAACTATGTGGTAGTGTTTGGAAGAAATTCTATATAAGTCTTAAAATGCTGTATCTTAAAATAAGGCATCTGTCTTTGCTTAGTGTGTCATCACAATCACTTTTGTTTCTAGTCACTTGACCGTTTTTGCACGTCTGCATTTTACACTTGACACTGACTGCAAAGGTTATACTGAACCTAATTTTCTGTACACTATGATTTCAATAAAATTTATGTTAAGAACTGGTGGGGTGACATTAAATATGCCTGTAAATTTCCTGCTCTCTATTTTTAGTGTTTTAGACATGAGGTGCATTAAGCTGAAGTCCAATGTACACTTGAACTGAACCGTGTTGCTTACGTGACCCTTCTTTGTTTTCCTTTGAGCATTACAAATTTACCTTCTTTTTCATTGCCTTAAATTGTAGTCATGGAAAGCTAATTTGGAACTTTTTTTTTTCTCTTTTCGTGAATCAGAAATCTGGAGCTTTGACAGGTGTACCCATTTCTGGGGTAAGTCCTACTTCAACTCAGATTCTGGCATGAGAACCTGATACTGCATGAACAGATCTTCACTGGAAAAATCTTTTAAGATGAATGAATCCTGCTACAAATTAAGTTGATGTTTTTTTACTTCATGTTAAACATGAAGTAAACTTTTGAAGTTGAATTATTAGTTGACTGGGTTCTTCATTGTTAAGTTAAGGTCTGGCTGTGGAAATACAGCTGATGGCTTTAATGCGTATGGGTAGGGCTGCTGGAAACTTAGGCTAAGCAAATGAGTAACATTACAAAATGGAAGCAAGCAGTTCTTGTGAAGGGAAGAGTAGTAAAAAGCAGAGGTTGTCTTTATAGATTTTTTTTCCTCACTTTAGTTACCTGCGTGCTCCTAATAGATTATAGTTAAATATTGCTGTTCATGTTCCTTTTTCATGCATGTGATTCAACTGCAGATATTTGCTAAAAAAAAAAAAATCTCTTTTCAGTGCTTGGGTGACCAGTCTGCTGCTCTTGTTGGGCAAATGTGTTTTCAAGATGGGCAGGCAAAAAATACGTAAGTTATTACAAAAGTTGTCAGATAAACAGTACATCACTGTTCTGTTTTTCAAGCTAACTGCCAAATGCTTTTGTAGATACTGCATAACTACAGCTCTGGGTTGACGTACAAAGTAAACAGTGTCCCAATTTTTGTATAAAATAATGAAGGTATTAAAATTAAATAGTTTGTGAGTTGTATTTTGGAACAAAGTCACTGTGAGGAAATACCTCTGTATGACAGGAAGGTTTTAATTTTAAAATTCTCCAAAACACAGATGGAAACAGTTGCAGTGTCATATAAATTGTGACCTAAAGTTAAACAAATACAGGCCGTGTGAGTTAGATCGCATAGACCTGAATGACAAAAAAAAACCCAACCAACATTGCTGGATGGGAAAGGTTCACTTCAGCTGCAGTGCTTAGTTTTGCTTCTGTTTCTAGCTCAGTGTGGAGAATTTTACATTTGGGTTCTTTCCATTTCTCAGCCTCTTAGTGTCCCTTGTTTACAATAGCTGATCAGTTAAATCAGGCAACTGGTGTAATCAAACATTAATTTCAGGAAAAGCTCTCTGCTTAAATGACTTAGTGCTCCATTTACAACCATGTGCTTAACTGAGCATGTAGGTACATACACAGTATTGGACTTTCACAGATTTAATTACACATTAATCTATACTTGTTGCTAATTAACCTTCACCTTATCTTTTATATTTATACACAAACTTAATGGTTAGTGGCCTTCTATTTTAGTATAATAAACATGGTTCTAAGTAATATTGTCACAAAGTATTTTTATAAGAAATACTTTTATAATTCAAGAAACCTTTTGAAAAAAATCCTGCTAAACCAAAAGGTAAAAGTGAGGGGTTTTTAACCTATTTGTGTTGCTGCTTTACCCCTTTTCTCTCCAAATGTAAACTGAAGACTTTCTCAGTACTATTTGAAGCTATTAATTTTCAGAGTATTAAAAAGGTAGGGAACTCATAATTTCTTAAAATAAGGTGGAGTGGGTTATAAGTATTTTGCACTCCTTTTATTAAACTGTGTTCTTACATGCGTGTGTATGCACACATATGTGTGATGTGGTCTTCAAATGAGAAACATGCCATTTTTAGAAGTATTTGAACTTAATATGTTTAAAGAAAACCCTCCTCTTTGTGACAGTAACAGTTTCTTAAATTTCCGCTTTAAAAGCTTGAATTTAGTATTGTGAAATGTTTATTTTATAAAGTAGCTTTCATAATCAGCTTATATCGAAGTAGGTAAACACTGCCATCAAAGAGGAATTCACACGTAGTTTTCAGCCATATCTGCTCCTTGATCAAGTATTATATAAGAAATAGCCAGAGAAAGAGGTGCGGGGACTAGATTTTTCAGCTGCCTGCTGCATTTAAATCAACTTCTTGAGGATGGTTTTATCAACAGGTAATGGCAACATAACCTTCAAGAGGAAAAAAGTGATGTCTTGATTCTCCAAAGGGGAGTCAAATTCATGAATTGCAGTAACAGGTTATCCTTTAAATATCCTGGTTTTAACTTTCCTTTGCTCTCATGCTAGGTATGGAACAGGATGTTTCTTGCTTTGTAACACGGGTCAGAAGGTCAGTTGCATTTCTTTAGTTGTTCACTTTTTTTTTTTACAGTCTTTAAGTTCTTGAGTGCAACTATGTATTAGCCTTTCTTAAACTTATGAGCAGCAATTATATTGCTAGAGATAAGGAAAAGTGCGTTCTGAAATCTGAAATAAGAGGAAGTAATAATTTGTTCAAGGTGTTTCAGTAAGACTCCATTTCCTAGCTCCTTAAGTTTCTAAAAAGAACTTTTCATATCAAGTTTCTTGCTCTTTCCTTGTATATGTTTCTTAACCTCACCCAGAAGTGCTGAGTGTTGTGTTAACTACCTGCTTTTCTTGTTGTCTTGGCTATTTTATTTCTTCCCTTCATTTTCTCCCATTGTTTCCTTGTAGTTGTAGCTGAATAAATAATGCAAAGCTTTGGCTTCCTTCTCATTCACATTTCCTTCTAAAGACCCCTAATTCTTTGCTACAAGGAGGCTGGAAGGATCTGAGGCAGCTTGTGGAAAGGCAAATTGACACCAGCAATTTGAGGCTTTATCTTAGGTGTTTATTTAGAGTGACTTTTTTTAAACTTTCCATATGTTTTTTTTTTCCAGTGAAGGTTTTGTCTCTTGTTTATTATCATTTGAATATATTTAATTAAATGTTTTCTGCCTCTATTCATGCTTTACCTTTTTTTTCCCCTTTCCGCATTTAGTCTGTGTTTTCTGAGCATGGTCTTCTAACCACAATAGCTTACAAACTGGGCAGAGACAAACCTGTTTGTTATGCACTAGAGGTAAGTACAGTAATTTCTTCCTTCTTGTAGTGATACGTGTTCTTGTTTACTTCCATTTTTCTAGTATCCTTATGTTATCTTCAGTTGCATGGAAATCAAAATAGCTTTGTGTTATAGCTTGTGTGCTTCAAGGCTTATGTGTGGTTTTGGTTATCCCTATCTCCAATCTTTATCACATAACCTAATAAAAATATTTCTACATTGCATCATTTATATTTTCAGGGCATGATGGCTAAAACATTTTTTCTGTTACAGAGTCTTTCAAATCTTTAATAAATGTTATAAATAAATAAATAAGAAGAAATTTTATACTGAAATTGCATTTAAAAAAGAGGGAAAAAAGTACTAGTGTTTCAGTTATCTTCTCATAATAAAATGCCCCACTAAATATCTTTAATTTTTGTTTCATTCTAGTGGATTTTACTCCTAACGTTTAAAAATCTGAATCAAATTTCTGGAACAAGAATCCTCTAACAATTGAGCTTTTTTTACCTACTGAGACTTAGGTGCCTACTTCCAGAACTTAGTTCCTCAGTTCTCCACACAACTCTAAGGACATCCAAATCCCATAGAAAATTGGATTTTTACTATAACTTCAGGGTTCATTGTTCTAAAGCTCTGTTTCTGAAGCACAGAGCAGCTGAGCACCTATTTGGCACCAAAGCTTCATTGGATTCAACAGAATGATTATTATTCCACCTGTGTTGCTTAGCGGGCTTGATCTGATAGTTATTCTCAAAACACACATACTGAATTCTCTGCTGCCATTGAGCTTTTGTAGAGAGCCCACGTTTTCCATGTAAAACACACAAAGACAACACACAGAATTTTCTTTGCTGGGAGAATAGTCTGTAGCTTGCAGTACTTTACTAGGATGTGGGAGGGTGTGTTCATTTCCTTTTCCTTTCCTAAGGAAAGTTGTTCTTGCATTTGGCATGTTTTGGCAAACTGAGGTTTTCACTTTGTGCAGTTATGTGAGAAGTTTGTTTTATTTTTAACCCATGTTTTTGAAGTAAGAACTGGAACTGTCTCAAGAGCAATTTGTATTTCTGCATGCTGAAACATGTGCATGTATACTTTGCTTCTTCCTCCTCTCCAAGTCTTTAACGATACTGTCTGAAGAAATGACATCAACAGAAGATGTTAAATGTTCTTTCTCCTGTATCCATGCTAGAATCATCTACAGTCTGCTGGTTGAGACACTTTCCAGAGAGGCAAGAAATGGTGGATTCAGCCTTTTCTTTCAATCAAACCCGTATCTTGTAACTGTAACAGCTAGCTGGTTAGAAAACACCCTGCTCCTTCTGGCAATGGCTTTGAATGAAAATATAATGCTACTCCTGTTTACTTGAAGCTTAGTCTAGTAGACTTGGGACTGTGTTGTAGAGAAGTCCATTTGGACTTCGGAGTGAGATGAGAGCCATGCCATTCATCTATGATATGGTGGAGCCATTCAGGGCCATTTGGTGAAGCACCAGAGGAATTTTGCTGGAAAGTGCGGAAAGTGCCTGAATTTTCTGTCTGTCTGGGCATTTGTATTTAGACTCTAGACATGATCAGTCTTCATTTTTTAAATCAAAGCATAAAAATCTTAATTTGTTAGAAAAAGAAGGCTGAGGCTACTGGACCTCATGACAAAATTAGAGAGACAAGGAGACTGCTTAGGAAATGTCATGGTAACTCCCCTCCAAGAAAAAATCATGTAATATGCACCTTTTCTACATGGAGCCTGCGTAACAGGCTGCCATTTTTACATGGCAGTCTCCAGCTGCCAAGAAACTTGTGGATTGCTTGTGAGCATTCCTGGGAGTGCTTTAAGTTGTGACTGTTAGCCTGTAATTGGAGGCCACAACTACCCCTCCTTTCCAGTCTTATAAAAAGGAACACGAAGCTAACAGTTGTTGTCTCCTAATGTTGTAGTGATTTTGTTTCCTTCAGGGGTCTGTTGCAATAGCTGGTGCTGTTGTTCGTTGGCTGAGGGACAATCTAGGTATCGTTAAGACTTCACAGGAAGTTGGTGAGTATTCATAATTTGGAGCTGTTCAGTTTTTTAAGTTTTCCGGTGTCTTGATGTCTCTAATATTGAATAAAAGCTCAAAATATTCAAGTAAAGAAAAGATGGAAGATGCATATATTTTGCTGTGTTTGAACAATTTGGTTTGCATCCATGAAATCACTGTTCATTGATGTATGTATTTCATACAGAATATCAATACGGCCTTTGAAACCCTTTGTCAGCTTTGCTGTATTGCAGTCTGTATTTTTTAGTAGTTTCCCTAGCAAGCAGATATTTAGGAAGGTAATATACATACAGTGTTATTACTTCATTTCGTACAAAATTGAATTTTCCAGAGCCAAGAGTATTTAAGTCTCTATTGCAGAACCTAGAGCATATTTGATCCTAAACCTACATATTCATTCCTGTCACAAACATGAGAACCTGAGGCCCTACATATACAAAAATGAATGTAGAAGGCTCCATATCCATTGAGTTAGGCACCTCAGTTGGCAAAGCTGAGGGTAGTAATCCATTTTGGCTAAGAATACAGTAATCCTTCAGCATTTGGGCAGCTGACATTTTCCGCTTGAGCTGAACTGAAACAAGCTGGTGTGTGACATTATAGAAACTAGGAATACATCAAAATTTGAAAACTGAGAAAATGTCAGAATCATTCAAGTGTAACAGTTTGAAAGTGACTGATTTAATGAGATTTAGGATTAAAAAGTGATTAATTACATATTTTTAATAATTTGATATTTTATTCAAAGATGGAAAAATTTAGAATTCAAATTTTATGTAAAACTCCAAAGACTAAGCAAAAACTTAAAACATCACTCTCTTTTTCTGTAAGAAAGCTTCACAGATCATACAGAAGAATATAAACTGCTGTCACATGAATCAGCCAGCTGTTGAAGCACTACAGTACCTGTTGGCTTCAAAAGTTTCACTAGACCTTTGGAAAGTTTGAGTTTCAAGAACTTTAATCTCGTCAGTGTTGTTGAAGTCATGTGAGACTTCATCATCTCTTCCTGTTTCCCTGAACATGCCCTTCCTTCTTCCTTCACTCCTTTTTAAAGTGGAGTCTGTATGAAAGTACTATTTACAAAGATTTTTTGAACAAGTTTTCCTACCTCTTTTCTCTGTTGCTACACTTCTCTCATCAATGCAAACAGGAAATTTACAAAAGCAGAAAAAAATATTTTCCTTTCTTGTTATAGGAAGAAGCTGCACATTAGCATTACTTCCTTGGCAGTTCTAGATGTTTTAATATAATTTAAAAAATAACAGGTATTTTAATATTGGGGAGTTCAGATATCCGAAGTTATTACTCAGATGTTAAGAAACTTCAGATTTCCTTGTAGCTGGCCTTGTGATTATATACATAAGCTGAGAATTTAGAACTCTAAATCCATTTGAAATTAATGGGAATTTAGTTCTTAACTCCCTTTAGTCTTGATCCAGTTTCACTTGCTTGCCTGGACTTAAATGCAAGTAGAGTGTGACCTTTTGGACGGCTTTGAAGGTTGCATTCTTTACCCACAGGAGACCCTTTTGAACACCTCACAGAATCTAGGTCAGAATACTGAGTACACAATTTTGGGTTTGGTTTTGATTTTTCATTTTACATTCTACATTTCCCACAACACCCTATGCCCCATCCTCCATTCATATTGTTGCAAATGGACAACTAGTTAATGAGGAGCAGAGTGCCAGAGTTAATTGTGTTTTCTAATTGTATGTGGCTTGATTATTTTTGTAGCTACCTAACATATTCTGAATATTTTCCGTATTTAAATAATAACACCTTTAAGTGTAATATTTAAGGGTTGTTACAGTTGTGGAAAGCTAAGTAAAGACTGTTTGTGTGTGTGCATTAGAAAAACTGGCCGCAGAAGTGGGGACTTCTTATGGCTGCTACTTTGTGCCAGCATTTTCAGGACTGTATGCACCATACTGGGAACCCAGTGCAAGGGGGTAAGGATCTGACTAAATACTGTATTTGCAGGGAGATTTAATGATTTTAGAAATACTGTCACTAGTCCTTCAAGGTATGTGAAATTGTTCTTTTTGTTCCTTTGATGTGTCAGGATACATCATTCTCTATGGTATCTTCAAGCAACTACTGTATTTCTCTTTTGTATTTAATCTGTTTGAAACAGCAGCTGCTACTGGGAGAAAAAGAAGTATTAGCTAGCTCAGCTACTCACCCACCTCTCCATCCCCCCTCCAAAATAAAGGAGGCGAGGAGCAGGGAAAATATTTGGGCTGGCTTGTGCATTTCAGAGGACAAGTACAAGATAGTTCTATCATCCTTGCCACTAATGGGGCCACCTTTTTTTCTTCATGCATTTCTGATTCTGAAAGTATTTTCTTCTCACTAAAGAGAAAGAGGAGGTCTGCATACCTGTGATCTGTCAGGCAACAGCAGTAGAAAGAGAAGAATTTAGTGCTGATTAGTTTTTCTGAGCTCAGTTTCCCATGGCGTCTGCATTCACTATCTCAAATCATGGAAACATAGAACCATTTAGTTGGAAAAAGACCTTTAAGATCATTGAATCCAGCTGTAACTGGTAACCACTAAATTATGTCCCTAAACACCTCGTCTACCCCTCTTTTAAATACCTCCAGGGATGGGGACTCAATCACTTCCCTAGGCAGCCCATTCTAGGACCTGATAACCCTTTCAGTGAAGAAATTTTTCCTGATGTCCAATCTAGACCTCCCCTGATGCAACTTGAGGCTGTTTCCCCTTGTCCTATTGCCTGTTACCTGGGAGAAGAGACCAACCCCCACCTGGCTACAGCCTCCTTTCAGGCAGTTGTAGAGGGCACTAAGGTCTCCCCTCAGCCTTCTCTTCTCCAGGCTAAACAACCCCAGTTCCCTCAGCTGCTCCTCATCAGAATTGTGCTCCAGACCCCTCAACAGCTTCGTTGCCCAATGATACAGGGTACTTAATTCCTCCCCATTTCTCCTCCCTCTTCTTGCCCTTATGTCCAGCTTTCTTTCCAGTCTATTGAACGCTCTTTTCTCCTCTCTTTCCAGTCCCTTTCCTCGTTAAGAGTTAACTAGATGGTACTAGTTAGAACTATTAGTACAAAAAAAACCCTTCTATTTGTCTTTTCTGCTATTGTGAGCTTGCCTACTGTAGCTGGAATCACAGCATGCCATGGGAGTCACAGAAGCATAACAAATTCAAATATAAAGTAACTTTCCTAAAGTGAAAAAAGAAGTCTTAAAGAATGTCTAGTTCCCAAGGTTTCAAGTAGTTGAATCTTTAGAATTTAGATGCTTTTTGTACATAAGGAAGAAAAAAAACCTTTGAGTTAGATATTTGTACAATTTTTCAGATCACAGTACTTAACTTTTTAACTGTTAACAGCTGATCTTTGGAATGGCAACAACTAAAAATGTCCTTTAATATCTTTGAACTTGCATGTATCCAGCACCAAATATAGCAGCACTTCTGTGTAGTACGGTACTATTGCTCAAATGTTGAAATAGAATAAAAGGATGATTATTTGCTCTGCAGTTCAGAATGCATTGACAGAATTCAGCTTACTCATGGTTATCTGTAGCAAAATTTCCATATCCAGAAATCTCTTTGAAAGTGTGCAAGTAACTAATGATCAGAATAGATTTGAAAACAATTTTAAGTATATAGAGCACAGCAGTGACCCAGTTGGGCTTTTCCTTAAGAACTGAAAGCACTAGAGAATCTATTAAGATATTAGCAGTAGGTGATATTATTAAAATCAGCCTCGATCATACATAGCTTTTTGTTAAAGGAAGGCTAAAATTTGTGTGTGTGTACGGGTGTGGGTGAATATCCACCCATTTGCATGCAGATTGGCAATAAAATTTTAATTTATGGCAATTGTATTGATGGGACACTGGAAGCATGTTTGTCAGGAAAACAGAGATGAGAGAGTTTAGATTAAAGGGAAACAAGCTTTTTAATATTAAAAAGCAGTCCTTATACAATGGAACTGAATAAGCTTTGAATTAGAAGGCCTATATCTGAAGGAACAGTGTATGTCTGGTAAAGAAGTATGTCCTAACTGTTTTTTTTTTCTCCCCCTCTCTCTTCGACAGTATTATTTGTGGCCTTACTCAGTTTACAAATAAAAACCACATCGCCTTTGCTGCATTAGAAGCGGTCTGCTTTCAAACACGAGAGGTAAAGGCAAATTGGGTCCTAAATTTGTTGTAAATTAGTATGATAACAGGGACTGTAGGTCTTCAGGAAGAGAGAGGATTGAAAAGTTTTAATGAAGATTAATCATATGCTTTATATTGTACTTGGATGCTATTCTTCTCTTTACGTGGTGCTAATGCTGAAAAATTGCTCCTGTAGACTTAGCTACAATGATCTGGTTGGGTGGTACGTTATTTTGGGGTGGTAATCCTGCTTTTTATCAGCATCTAAAATAAGAAGAATGTATTTTGTGAATATTTTGAGAGACAGAACATAGAAACATTAAAATGAAAAGGCCAGTGCCATAACTAAAAAATTGCATTAGTTCTACAACGTAGGTGACTACATTTTATATTGTCTGCTGTGACAGAGATGGCTTATGTGGCTTTTGGTACACAAGAACAAAAATGAGTGAAAGCGAGACAGCAGCAAACATACCAAGGGATATCTGGATTCACTTCTGGCCCATTACATCTTGTGTTGCCTTAGCTGGCATTCTGCAAGAGCAAACAGATTCTCACAGGAGAAATGAATGCTCCAACCAAATCAAAGGGATTGTTATTAGTATGTTCTAAGCGTTAGAATTTTTATATCACCATCTACTATCAATTTACACTCACTGTTCCATACAAATACAGGAGAAAATGCAATCTGTAGATCCCAAAGGGTAACAGTCAAACCTTAATTTGATTGCATGTTTTTAAACTGCTGTTATTTAAACATATTGGGTTTTAAAATAACAACCAGCTAAACCTGGGTGAGAGGAGGAAAACAGCTTGCTGTTTCTGTAGTGACATAGAATAGAGTAAGAATTACTCATGTGGAAAAAGACAGCCAGAAATTTCACCCAGGCATCTGCTTTTGAAGCTATGCTAACAGCCTCTGAGTCCTCAGAAAGTTGTGAAAGAGCTTGAAAGTAGGCCATATCTCTCATTCTGGTACTAGAAGTCAGGGTGATGTTACAGGGAACTGAACTGATAGTCTAGTTTGTTGTCTGCTCCTCTCTTTCCTTGTCCCTCCTCCCATCTATTCCCTCTCATGTGACAGCTCAATGAACTTTCCAGCAGAAAATTATCCCTCTTTTTGCTGGGCTATTTTTCTGCTGGATTAATGACCTCAGCTGCCTCACATAGGAGCGTAGCAAATGTCAGAACAAGAGACAGGGCATGTTGCTGGGGGTGGATGGGAGGGGAATAAAGCTCTCAGACTGAGTGAGGGTGAAGTTAACTGTTTGACCAGATCTAATACTTCCTCATACTTTAGTCAGTGTGCTTTTATCACAATGACAGGGGTGTCTGATCAGGTCTCTGGACGCGCTTAGATTAACAGATTAAGTCCTAGTGACACATATAAAATGTATGTAAATTTTTCAAAGATAGACTGTTAGTTCTGTCTTGTCAGAAACAAAGTTCTTTTCTTTTAATTCCAGTTAAAATGGAAGCCTTTTGTATCCTTCAGGAAAACCCTCAAATTTCATGTTCATTGGAGTTTTCACTTGGTTTATTGTGCCATCCAATCCTTCTACGTCTCTGTTCCTCGTTTTCCAAAAAGCTCCTTCCTTGTGCAGACAAATTACATCTGTTAAATTTTTTTCTTCCAGGAGGCATTATGGAAAAATAAGCAATTTTTCTGTTCTAAGAGTCGTACAATGCTGTCATTAGACAGAACTTACATACTTGGATACCTTGCTCTTCATCCAACCTCAGTAGAACAGAGGTAGCAGCAGCACGATCATCCCTTCCCGATTTCTAGTGTTCTTTTCTTTTTTTTTTTTAATTTCTGTTGAGTGCGTATTATGATCCAACATGCTCCTGCACAGTGGTAAAAAAAGCTGGAGCCTCCAACAGTAAATGTATGTAAAGCTGAGATTATGAGGCGCTGCTGAAGTGCTGAATGGTAAAAAAGGCAGGTGAAATCAGCATAGACAAATGTAAAATGACGCATGTGAAGGAAATAAGTGGTGGGGAGCAGTACTGGCTTAGTACTGCCAGCAAGCATTGCTGCTGTGCTGTGAATCCTCTTTTCCAGGTTATTTCTAATGTATTGAACAGTGCAGGCCTGTGGAGAGATGCTGCCACCATGAAAACTGGCCTTTTACTCTTACCTTCCAAATTTTAACCATTATTTATCTTGTGGCAGTTCCTTCAGTTCCTTTGAAAATTTTCCTGTAAGGGAGCTTGCTGACTTACTTTCTGGAATCGGGTAGAATCTACTGGACATCTCATCTCCATATAGTTTTTACTATCTTACAAACGTACAATTTTCTTGTTTTTTTTTTTTTTTTTTTTTTAAAAGCATGCTGACTTTTCCCATTAAGAATTGTATAACTGGGTACATTGTGAATTACAGAGCAGCACAGAGTATGTTGTAGCTTTGGTCTTTTTTTTGTGGTCTATGTTGCTTTGTCATTTAAAGCTGAGAAAAGCACATTTCTTTTTTATTCAAATAAATTGAAAAATCACAAAGAGAAAATCATTCTGCACTAGTTAATGCCTAACTTCAACAAAAATGATGCAATAACTAAAAAATGTAAATAAGACATTTAATTGACCACTTTTAAAAAATGCTAGAAAACCCACTATTCTGCATTCAATAGGTACTTGTAGGATAATGCCATGGTGTTATCAGTAGCTAAGGTTTGAGGCAAATCTTACATTTTTAGGAAAACCTCTAAAAAGCGTATGGATAGGTATCACTGAATTAAATACTCTACTCTTAGTTAATTATACCTTGCAAACACTTTAAGTCTCTTATTTTCAGCTCTCCGCTGTGCCCAAAAAAAGGAAACATAATTTTAAAAAAAATTACACAAACAGTTTATTTTTGCAATCTGTCTTGTGTAAGGTAAAATTCTCAGTTTTCAACAACTGAAAATATTTCAAGGGGCTGCTCTTTCAAAACAGTTCAGCAGTTCCTGCTGAAGTGTCTTCCGGATTGCCAGTTCAAACGTTTTAATTTTTCAATTCTTTAATGCATCAAATTAGAGAAAGTATCTAGACAAACTGGCCAAAGGACTCCGTCTATCATAGAATCATAGAATGTTTTGGGTTGGAAGGGACCCCTAGAGGTTTAGTATTACTTCTTCCTTTGTTAGCGTTGATAAATATTGTAGTTTTCTTCAAAATTCTTCTTTTCAGACCATATGAGCAACACGTAGGCTAGATATAGAGCATCAGAGGAGAAACATCTTCCACAGTAGGATTTCGGTAATAAATAGAATGCATTTCCTGTCTATTGAACAAAACCATGTTGTCACTACCTCTGTTTTGTGCTCTTGACGTATAGGGGAGGGGAATTATTTACTTAACGCTCTTCAGCAAATGCTGGATGATCAGTATCTTACACTCAGAGGGTATAATGAATTTTTCTGCAATTAAAACATAACATATATCACTCTAATTTAAGATTTTAGATGCCATAAACAAGGACTGTGGGATACCACTAAATCAGTTACAAGTAGATGGAGGAATGACCAATAACAAAGTCCTCATGCAACTACAATCAGACATTCTCTGTATTCCAGTTGGTAAGATGAAATTACCACTCCTGTTTTCTTTTTAAAGCTGAAAACAACATTGGTTTGTAATGGCTAATGAGGGCAAATTGGGTAGCTTGCTTTGCTGTTGTTGCTGGTCTTTTGCTACTGCTTGAGAATGTTGGGGGTTTTTTCAGAAAAAGTTTTTAGATCTTGCATCCAGTTTGAAGATTCACTTTCATAGAGGATCACTGACTTATTTCTTATGTTGAAATATTACAGCACTATGATGGCATTGAACTTTAAAATTGTCATATCATTTTCTAAACGTTTAACAATTTTAAAGTCAGTGAATTAATGCTCTGCTGCAACACATTGGCCCTGAGAATCTTGCTTAGAGATAAACCAGAACTTTGTACTTCCACTGCTTGTGTTTTGCTCTTGCATTTCAGCAAATAGCAAATACCCTTTTTTCTGTTCCCTTTGCCTGCACAAATCTTTGATTTCATTTACAGTGTAAAAGAAGACCCACAAAACACACTGTCCATTCTGTTTTCTCCCACAGCAGCAATGAAGAAGTGAATAGAGGTTACAACAAAAATGGGAGTCTTGCAACCAGTTTACTTAGCATGCATAATATGAAATACCAATTCAAATGGGGTTGTTCCTCTCTGAGGCAAAGGAAAGTTTACCATACCATTATTCTGATCCAACAGCAATGCAGCCATTTTATGTAATGATCATGTAACACTTCTTTCATATAAGCCCCTTAGAATAACAGAAAAGGCTTTTAGCTTTTGAAGGATATGTTTCAATACACTAAAACTCTTTAAAGATCTCACTTGAAACCTGGAGCATTTCAGCATCAGTGAAAAGGGTGCATCTGTCTGAAGACATGTTTTAACACCTGTAGCAGAACCCAAGTTGCCAAGTACTGTAAGCTGTATAGCATTCTCAAGGATGCAGTGTGTCACTGAGTAACATCAGGATACTATACGTCTTCATCTATACTGAAGACTGATAATTTGCTGCATAAATATAATAAACTTGCCTAATAATCAGCTTCTAGAAAATAATTTAGAAAAACATTGTGTTGTCTCTTATGCATAAATGTGAGACACTTCAGTGGAAAGTTCTTAACTCTAGACAAGCTAGTAAGTACAGATGGGTAGCCTCTTTTAAGATGCCTTTTCTAAATATAAATGCTTTTAACAGCACAATATCTAGAGCATGGGAACATTTAGCCAGTGATCACTGCTTTGAGGAGGGAGAGAGAAGACAAAAAAATAGTATGTATATTATTAACAGGAGTACTCTAAGGAAACTGATGGTTGAGGTCAGCAGCCTGGAATGTGGTATGAGAATGGGCAATTGCATGATTCAGTCTTGAAGGAAGTAGTGATCTGAGATATTTCAAAGACTTGGATGACTCATACGTGAAGTTAGCCTCGTAACCATGTGAATGGCAATAAAATGAGGTTTGCAGTTGATAAACTTAAAGTAAGTATATAGCAGTTGTAGAAAATATGTATCATTCAATATATACATGTAATCTTTAGTTCTGATGTCATCAAGGTTACTTACATTAAAAATCATCATGGTCTTCTCTGTGATTTACTTCAGTAAAGCCATCAATGCCTGAAACAACAGCTCTAGGAGCTGCTATGGCGGCAGGAGCTGCAGAAGGAGTTGGAATTTGGAGTCTGAATCCTGGAGATCTGACAGCAGTAACATGTGAACGATTTGAACCACAGATCAACCCAGAGGGTAAAACCCTTTCATATTATCTAAGAAGTTGCAAGCTTAGTGTTTTATGTCCAACAGATTGGGTTTTTTCTTTGTTGCAGTCTAACATAGTGATATAAAACCATGAATGAATATGCTCACAAATGTTGAAGATGAACATTGTAGAGTTTGGTTTAGAGAAAAGTGCATTTCACTTGAAGTTTTGTCCATTTATTGACTAGTACAATTGGAAAATGGTTGAAACGAAAGAACTCCACAGGGTAATGTGTTGGGGTTTTTTTCTTTCTTCTTTTTGAAAGAAGCTTGACACTGAGCATTGCAGTTAGTAGCTTTTGATTTACAGCAAGTAGACTCAAAGAAATCTTGAAAAGTTTTTACTGAGAATAAGCCTCCTAAAGCTCCTGTGCATTTGTGAGTTTTCACAGATACAAAAAGGGCAGACTGATTGGTTTGGGGAGACTTTTATTTTGGCTTTAAAAAGCCTACATTAATCATCAGTTTTTAGCTTACTATCTTTTTCATCAGTTCTTAAGTGCTTGTAGAGATGGAAAGCATGTACTTGACATAATTAATCCATGTGCAAGGCAAATGTATTTTTGTCTTTTTAATTATTTCTTAATTTTTGGTGCAGAATTTTTCTTATGATTTTGATTATAATTACTGCTATAATCCCTACTTCAGGACAGTATTTTCAACACTGAAGGGCTTCTACATGAATAACAATTTCTTCATTTTGTCCTACTTGTAACTCTTCTTATTGGTGAACATGCAGAAAATTGTTTTTAAGGTTATTTTAAGGTTTATTATTTATTTATTATGTGCATAATTGTGGGGTTTGGGATTGTTTTGGTTTAGTTGTTGGTGGCTTTTTTAATTCAAAACAGCATTTTATGGTACTTGTTCTGTGCAGACAAACAATACTGTGCAAAAGAGTGGAAAGCTAATATTGTAGTCTTTGCTTCTTAAATACTTGTAGTATTCATATGCATTGAAAGGCTTTTCTGTTTGCTGATTTCTCGTTTTCAGAAAGTGAATTTCGCTATGCCAGATGGAAGAAAGCTGTGATGAAATCTATGGGGTGGGAGACATCTGAAGCTCCTTCAGATGGTAAATCAGAAATTAATGCATTTCAAGTGTTACTGATTAGCCAGTTAGCCTAGGTAGTTAATCTTGAGTTTGGTGACCTTTTCTGTTCATACCATCTCTGGACTGTTCCAGTGATTTAAAAAGTATTACTTAAAACCACTGTCTAAACAAAACAGGAAAATAGATACATATGTCTTTCTCTTGAAAGGAGGGCACAAGCAATATCTTGTAGGGCTCTAAAAACAGAGGATGTGAAATGACTAACTGCAGGTTTGGCAGAATAGCATTGGTTTACAAAAGAAAGATATCTTACCTAGAAGAAAGAGATACAGCACAATTCCAAGACAGTGCAGGGATTTTGTAAACTTTCTTATACTGTAATCTCATGTTACAAAGGAGAAAAGTTTCATCCTGTGATTTTTCTTGTTACATCTTGCCTTTATTATATGCTGTATAGGAAGGAGGGATTGATAGCCACATCAAAATCTGTTTGACCCCCAAGGCCTAAGAGCAAGAAGTTATCATAAAGTGAAGAATTGTGTAGACCTATTGTCCACACACAGAGAATATACAAACGCTTTTGAGGGACTGAACAAGATCTTTCTTTTGAAGTAGAGCGCTTTTTCATCTGTCAGGTTTGAATTAAATCAAACCTATAGTCTTCTAATTTGAATTTATACTTCAACACTATTTCAGGTTAAGTTTTTAGTCCTGAATCATCCTACAACACATCATTTATGAGCTTTATCTTCATTTTGTTTCCCTTTTGTTGGAAAAATACTAGAATGAAAACTACTAAGTAAAGAATCCTCAAAACTCCCCCTACAATCCACAGTTGCAGCCCTCAAGCTGCATGAAGTCTCTTGCTTTATTCTTGAAAGCTAAAGCTAAAATTTTTCTTTTACCATCCTATATGATGGTTTAAGTATTTTATTTAACACCATGGTTATACAAACAGTTTTGTAAAGACTGTTCAAAAGGCAAATAGGTAACTTAGCATGAGTAATAAGATTCACTTCAGTATTGTCCATTATGATGTAGTAGCCTTACATCTAAACTCTCTGTTATGTATCCTAAAATCCCAAGTGCTTGATGTGTATCTTGCTTACATATCTTTATTTCCTTTTGAAGGATAGAAAATTCTGCCTTGCAGAAAATAAAACTAGATTTTGTTCTTCAGCTCATGTGAAAAGGCATATGTTTATCAAAACTTACCCTCGGTGATTATCTTGTTTAGCACTGAAGGGGAAATGTTATTTTCCTTAGTTCTTGCTTTGAAACTTTATTTTCTGCCTGCTAGGAGTATTTAAGATTGAAGAATACTAGAAGTGGTCTTAGCCTAGATAGTGCTAACAGTGGAATTTGGATGTGAACTCTTACATTGAGAGCCTGTTTGGAATTATTGTGGGGGTTATGCATAATTTTTTTTTTAGTCTTTCTGCAAATGTCACTACGTTTGTTGCTTTTTGCTGTTCGTATGATTTTTAACACATATATTGCAATTTATATATATATATTTCTCTTTTGATTTGCTTGACTGGAAACACCCTCCCCTGGATGACATCAGGTGACACTAGTATCTTCTGTAGTCTGCCTTTGGGTTTTTTTATTATGAGTAGCATGATAATGTTAATCGGAGCAAAGTACGTCTCAGGTTAGTTATTATTTGAACTAGATCACTTTAAAAGCTGTCTACACTATTTTAAGTGTTGGGGTTTTTTGTATTCCATCTGTTTATTTTTAGCAGAAATGACTGATGCTTTTTGTTGTTCATGCACACGAGCGTTTGAGGGTGTGAATTAGACATACGGTACCTAAGGGAACCAAGTGAGTGCCATCTCGAATTCATCCTCATATGCCATGAAATTCGTAGCTGTTAGATGCACATGAAACATTTAACTCTCCCCTCCCTTTGTCTAGCTGTGAAGACTGTACACAGTTTATAAAAGCGATACAGGTTGGAGCAGCCTCGCAGAGCTCTGCATTGCCCGCATTACACTGTGCATTGCAGTTAGAATAAGATTCCATCCTTTATCCTGTATTTCTTCTCAAAACATTTAAAATTATTTTGAGGATCTTGTTTAAATAAAGCGAAGACTTCTCTTCTGTCCCTCAAAGGCTTCATGCACCCCTTTCACTTTTCTGGTCCCCTTGGAACTATCGTATGGTTAGAAATCTTCATCTACTAAATCTATAGAATATTCTTTTTGTACTTTGCTCTTGATGGATAAGTGAATTCATTTTGTGTAAAGAGAAGAGACCCTATAAGGCCTATCTGCAAAACTGGGGAAAGGGACTGTGTGCATATGCAATGAAGATGCATCTTCAACCTATTAATATATGTTTTATTTTAAAAGAAAGTTCTTAATATGGATGACGGTGTTAGTTACTTATGCCAGAAGTAAGACATTTCATTAAGATATTCTTATGGTAAGAAAAAGAAGTTTATATGGTGATGTCATTTGTTCTTTGCTGTTGTGTTTCATAATTTCATTCCAAAGAAAATATTTTACAGTATAGCCATTGTTGCTGCTTAGTAAGCTTTTGGGGGTGGTTATTTAGTTTTCTTTCTTTGTTTTGGTTTTGGCAGGATGGGTGGGGGGTATTAATTAAACAGACAATTGAGGACTCTAGCATGCTCCTATGATGATGTGTTTGTATTTTGTGTCTACTCATTCAGCCTGAATTAACTATTCAATTGTAATTTTCCTTGCATGGAAGAGACTGTCTGAGCTTGTAGGAGAACTAAAATCAAACTAAACAAATGCTAGGCAAAAATCAAACTGAACAAATGGATTGACATTGATTTACTAACTCTGGAATGTATCTGTGAATGAGAACAATCTTGATTATGAAGAATAAAATAAAACCAGCTGTGAATAAGTGGGTAAATTTTTAACAAGCTGAACTAAGCAACTTGAATATTAATTCCAGATCACATTCTTCACCACATGTAGGATACCTAAAATAATATGAAGATCAATGTTAAGTGGGCAGATAAACAACGTAAATTCTGACTTTATTGCTTTTTAAAAACAACTAATCAGTAACCTGCGTATAAATATCTAAATTTGCACTGCTGGAACTCATAAAAAAAGATATTGGTTTTTTTCTCCCTTCCCTAAGCTTGTCAGTGCCTTTCTGACCCACAAGTGGAAAACATTAATCTCAACTCACTCTGGCCTTCAGAACCCATTTTTTGCCCTTGTTTTCAGATGACTATTTATATATAGTTACTATATATTGGTATATTATTTACATGGTAAGCTTGGGACAGGAGAAGTTGCAAGAAATTTCCAGCTCTTGTTTTAAAAATGATGATGTCTGGAAAGGAATAGCATCAGTGATGATATGTACAGGTTGTAGTTTTGCTCAGTTGTGTGTTAGGGTAGAACACGATATATAAAATTTGTGTTGCTGATTGGAGCAGTGCTGCTTCCCCCTTAGATGTTTACTCGGGTAAATATCCTTTTGCTTTTAAAAGCTGGAACTAGCTGACCAGACTTTCCTTCTAATTCAGTACAGGAACTCCATTAATTAATTTGTTACATTTTATCTTTTAATGAAACACTGGAACTCCAACGCAGTCATCAGTATAGTAGGTTTGAGGACTGAATCTACTGAGGACTGAATTCATCCGTCATGTGCTGAAACAGCAGTAAGTCTTGCATGGCAACCGTGCTGTTGTTGAACACGTCTCTGCAGGGCAGGGCCATGATTTTACAACTACTGAAAAAGTGAAGGAAAAATTTGCTGTGGCAGAGCAGAGAACACTAACGTGGCAAAAGCTCATTTACAGAACTGCTAGACTAACTGCCTTCTCGTGCGGCACCTGATGACTGAATATGAAGAACAATACTGTATTTCATGGTATCGTTTCATAATTTCATCAAAATCAGGGCAATTACTTGTACCTTATTCATGACCTTCATTAGTCTTGTCTCCCAGAAAAGGGAGAACAGGCCAATATTTTGGTTTATTTCACTATTAAAGCAAGATGTGTTTAGCAACTGGAGTCCTTATGCTAAGATTCTGTTAAATTTTTCACACTAGTTTTGCAAGTGGACATCTGAGAGATTTCAACATATTCTGTAGCTGTAATTTGTTGAGGAGGTGGGAGCTAACTGAAAGTGACACTATATTTTATTAGACTCAAGTCTGAAGAAATGCCTTTGCATGCTTAAATTGGCAGCTCTCAAGTGAGGTATACGTGGGGGCTGGCTATATACGGGATCTTACGTGACACCTGGGATGTAAAGTTCTTTGACTTTATTCTCACAGAATGAGGTGTCAGTGCTGATAGTAATGCTATATTCCTCCTGCTTAAATACCCTTTGGGCTTTTTTTTTTAAAGATTCTGTTTTTCCTTTTTAGTTTCTTGTGTGGTGTTAGTTACTGCCAAATTGCATAATCATGTACATATAGGGATTACTATGCAGTTCTGCAAGTCAGTTGCAATAATATTTCCCAAATTTCTGAAAGCTGAGCTCATATTCACAAGAACATAAGCTTAGAGTACCTTCCCTCAATTCTTCCACTTGTTAAAAATTTACCCATCTTAATAGTGTGGTCTCTTCTCTCCTGCTATATGCACACCCCACACACTTAAGTGCTGGCTTATCATCTGGTGTCACAAGATACATCTAATTTATAATTGCATTAATTGAAAACAAAGGATGTTTATACTGAATTCCTCATAGCTCAGCTGTGTTATAGACTGTTACTAACGTTTTAGAGTAAATTCTATGTTACTAATGCACTTTCTTTCTTATTTAAGGTTCTGGTAAATGAGACTACTTAGTGGACTCTCTGGATGCAGCTGATTTTTTTTGTTTCATTTTGTTTTGTTATCTGAAGAGATTCCACCACCAGTGTGATTATACTACTTTTGTGACTAAACCCATTCATGAATCCATCTGTTGCCAGCCCCTGAGTAACCTCCCAGCGGTACACTGAAACTTCCGTCTTCAGCCCTTCATTACTCTGCTCCCTTCCCCATCAACTCCAACTGCACTGGAGGCCATTGGGTGGACTATCTCACATCATCCTCTAAAATTTCACAAGCCCTAGCTTTGTTTGAGAAAGTTGGTATAACAAAACCCTGCAACTTCTGAGGTAATGATGTCAGATGTTTAGCTATCCTTTTCAGAGTTTTGGTACTTGATACAACACACTGCAGAAAGTTAATGATGCACTATAGAACTTTGTAACATCTCACAATTCTTCCAGCTGCTGTGAATTACCTTTCACATGTCAATGGTTGCCAAAGATGTTTTATTGTAGTGGCCACTGGTCCGAAACACCTTCAACGGTACAAACCTTTTAAACGCTAGCTCAAAATGTATTGTCAGTAGCGCGCATCGCCACCAGTTTGGCAATGTAGAGGTTGCCGGGATGGCCCACAGGCTACTGTTGAAATGATCAGTTACAAAATTAAAGAGTTTGGTTTGCCTTTTGGCGTACATAGTTGGTTTGCCCGTTTCAGACAGTAGGTCCTGTAGGTGTACCTTTACAGAGATAGGATTAAATAGGTGTTTGGGTTAAGGCTTTGGCTAAGGTTTCACGTTCTTGCACTTCTGTCTTAGTTTGGAAAGACACACTGTTGACAGGACAGCTTCTTGGTCCTCAGCAGCTGATGACTCTTAAAACTGCTCTGCACAATGCACTTCTCTTGACCAATACTGCGTATGTTCTGTCACCCTGCTTAAGGATATTTTGGTGACTATTTGTTAAACTTTTGAAAGTTGAAGCTGACTTACTTTTCCTTAAAGAGGGTCCACTCCAAATTGAGTATCAGTGCTTTAGTTCTTGATCTCATGTAGTATATCTCAGGGACCAAAAATCTCCCTTTCGGTTTCCATGTCTGTAGTTTTAACAGCAAGTTGTCACAAAACATGCGGGGACAACCCAAAACCCTGGCTTGGAAGAGTTTCCAAGGTGCGCTTGGCACCTGAAACGGGCCACTGGGATTCACAGGCAGCGACCGTGACAATCGAGTTGCATCCACTTTGAAACCTTTTGTCCTCCGCAGGTAAAGGAGTGAGGCAATAACCTTATCTTCAGCTTTCCTGTTTGCACCAACAGCATGAGAAATGCCAGCCTTATTGGTTAGGTCAGAGAAAATGTGTTCCTGTACAGTGTCATGAATAGCGAGGTTAAACGTGGGAGCAACACGGAGAATTTCAAAGATGTGTTTAAATGCACTAGGAGTTAAAGGGAGCGGTTTTTTGTGTGCGTCTGTTCTTAAAGATTTTTGTCCTTAAAAAATAGTCTTTAACGAAGTTTGGTTTTGTTACACTATGATTAGAGGCTTAGTTTTTAAAACGATGTTAAACGTGTGTGTCTGAAGCAATGGGTTGCACAGAAGTTCAGGTCTGTACGATATATTTAATATCAAATGCATATTAATTGCCTTTTTATTGTCAAGTGCAATGACCTTTGAAAATGTGACTTTTAATTCAGAGTTTGGAGTGGGAACATTTTTTGTCCTGTGGTTGCATGTGTAAATTCAGCAGAGGGGGTTTTTGTGCACGGGTGAAAATACAGCAACATCACTCACATCCCGTGTCTCCTACAAATACTCAAATGTGAGGCGTGACACCTGCAGTCTCTGGGTTTTCCAGTTTGCGTTGGAGAGGCGAAGAAAGAGCGAACAATGAACATGAGCCCACAGGGAAACCTTTATCCTCCTTGCCTTTACTCGGAGCTGTTGCTGCTCCCGCCTGGCCCCAAGGAACGGGAGCAGCAGCGGCCCTTGGAGCAGGCAGGGCAAGGGCAGCAGGCGCCTCGGACACCGCACTTCTCGCCAAAACCGCTGAAGTGCTGAACCTGGGAACGATTCGTGTTGAAGTGTTGCCTTTGCCAGTGACGTACGTGGCGGGGGGGGGAGAAAGGTAGCCCGTCATAGGTAGGAGGGGGATTTTTTTGCTGCTTTTCTGATTTATCTTTTACTGGGAAACAGAATTCCTATTACTTTTTCACTGAGTAAAAATCATTATTTTATTTTCAATTGCTGTTTAAATATTTTTTAAGAATTTCACACCACTGTTAACTTTCTACCAGCATAGTTGAAATATATTGTAAGCGGCGTGTTGGGGGGGAGGGGACAAACTGTTGAGAGTTAGCTTTTTTGTGAAGCTGTGATTTATTTTTTTTCTATAAATTATCAGATTTATAAATTCTTACTTGCGAAATGCATTAACTTGGTATTAAAATACCGTAAATAAATTGCTGTAAGCCGTCAGTTTATTCCCGCACATTACCCTTCAGACACGTTTTCATCGATGTTTTTTATGTGAGGCATTAGCGTACATCGACACGTCTTAAACGACCGAGCAGCCTCCTTAAGCGCCACAGGCGCGCGCTGGAACTTGCTCAGGTGTAGGGCTCGAGTACACGCAGCGCCGCGCTCTGCTCTTCCGTGGGTGTGTTCCCTTGCAAAGTCCGGATTAGAAATTACATCTCCTCCGGTCCCTCCATGTTGAGGAAGAAGCAGGACGGCGCCCGTAGGACGGCGAAAAGGAGCACAGTCGTAGCACAGGTTTGAGCCGAAGGTCTCGAGCAGCGTGGCTCGCTGGGGCCAGCAGCCCCGACGGATTGTGCTCGTAGAGCACGGCCTGCCCATGGCTACAGACTGAAAAGCCGTTGGGAGGTGGGGGAAGCAATGTCGATGGAAGAGAGAGCATGGCTGGCGGCACGAGCCGGCAGCGTCGGGCGTTTCTCCTGGTTTAAGAAAGAAGGGTGGGGGGACGCGTGTCCGCCGAGGGTTCGTGGGTGGAGCGTGCCTGCCGCATCCTTGTTCGTTCTGTCTGCGCGTAGCTCCCAAATTGTGTTGTGCACACCTCGCGCTGCCTAAGTGTGCCAAGGACATAGCCTCCGCCCGTAGTCTTCACGAGGTCTTTAGTCCCCCGTCTCGAAATCAGTTGTGTGAGTCAGAAACAAACTCCCGCCCCCCCACGCCCCCAAAAAAGGCATTTAAGCACCGAAATCAGTTGTGTGAGTCAGAAACAAACTCCCCACCCCCCCAAAAAAGGCATTTAAGCAGCATGCCGGCACAGCAACCTTAGGTAACGCGCCCTTACTCGGCATCGCGCTTCTCCCTCTGCTCGCGAGTCCTCCTTTCGTACAGCAGCGTCGCAGCCTGGCCCTCCGCTGCGCTGCACAAGAGCATACTCGATTCATCAGGCTGGAATATTACGAGATGAGAACTTTATTAATGTAATTAGTACCAGAAATTTATATGTATAGAGAATTTTTGTCCAACGAAAGCTAATACAGTGTCTGATCTCTCACTGGAACTCTGTACCAACAAGCTGCCTAATATCCATGCCAGCATCCAAGCCGTAATCTTTCCATCTAAAGAATCCCAGATCTGTAGCTGTTGGAATGCCGTCCCATTAAGAGCTGTAACACAAGCCCGGTATGTTGGGGTTTTTTTAAATTTATAATTGACTGGCACTTATGGAAGTGGTACTCATCAGTCCAGGCAAACGCGCAGCAGCCCTTTAAAGCCCGGAAATGACAGAGGAACACTACTGGAATGATTTTCCTGCGCTGCCCAGAGGGACCTCAGCAGGCTGGGCAATGGGCCGGCAGGAACCCCGTGAGGTTCAACAAGGCGGGGTGCCAAGCCCTGCCCCGCGCACCGGGACAGGCTGGGGGCCAACCCGCTGCTGGGGAGCGGCCCTGCGGCGAAGGTCCCGGGCGTCCTGGCGGGCACCGCGTTGAACGTGAGGCAGCAATCGCAAGGAAGGCGGGCAAGAGCACCCCGGGCTGCATCAAGCAGAGCGTCGCCAGCAGGCGAAGGGGAGGCGATCCTTCCCCTCTAACCAGCCCCGGTGAGACCCGCCTGGGGCGCTGGGTCCAGCTCTGGGATCGCCGCTGTGAGAAAGGCACGGACATCCCAGAGCCAGTCCTGAGACGGGCCACAAAGATGGTTAAAGGATTGGAGCATCTGTCTCACGGGAGAAGCTGCGGGATCTGGGACTGCGCAGCTTGGAGGGAGCTTGGATATAAACACCTGGTGCAGGCAGTAATGGCAACGGAGCCAGCCCCTTCCCAGCGGTGCCCGGTGACAGGACGAGAGGCAATGGCCACAAACGGAAACACGGGAAATTCCGTTCAAAGAAGAAAAAATCATTTTCCTTACTCTTGAGGGTAGTCGCATGCGGGAGCAGGTTGCTCAGAGGGGCTGTGGAGCCTCCATCCTTCAAGACACTCAAAACCCGACAGGACACGGCCCTGCTCTCGCTGCCCCTGCTCTGAGCAGGGGGTTGGACCAGACGATCAGAGCTGCCCCCCCTGCCTCAAATGGTGCATGGGGCTGTGATTAGGTCAGTCGCACCTTGTCTCCAGCACGGGCTGGAGGCTCGAGCCAGCTAATCATAAAGGGAAAGGAAATGCTAGTTTATTTGGACGGAGCCAGTTCCGCTTATATGAATCAGTTTTCAGCCACTGTTGTGTTTTAGCATTATTCACCCGGAGTTATTACTGTGGTACCCTAAGTACGTAGTTGTTTTGGAAGAGTCAGCCCTATTGCGTGGGCTTATTGTCTTACTTGTTCTAGTTCTGAGATGATCTCTTAGGCAGTTGCTAGTGGGAGTTTCAGCAGAGTGTCTGTTTTTCATGTTCCTGATTTACTTTAGTCTAATAGCCTGCTTTTCGTAGGGAATTATACCACCAGGTGTTTGAAAGCAGCCCAAAAGGCAAGCATGGGGTAACGTGCTTCCAGAGAGACCACAGTTAAGTTGTAGTGAGCCAAAACCTAACAATATGGGTTCGTTAAATTTTTGTAATGGGAAGACATGGGTTTGGGAGTCACTTCATTTTGTTTGTAGCGTTTTTTCTTTAAATCCATGGGGATTTCATTTAAATTCTGGAGGTTCCTGCCCTGACTATCCTTGAAAGTACATTCAATTCCGTTGGAAGGATCTCCTGCATCCTTACTTTTCAGTTCTGCAGGGATGGAGCGCTCTGAGAACTGAAGAACCAGCAGCTCTGGCTTCCTGGTGGCCTGAGGCACTCGTGGGGCCTTGTGCAACCAGAGCAGGGCTTGCAGACCGGACAGCTTTGGTGCTCAGCTGTCCCTGCCTAGAACAAGCGTTTTCCCTCCCAGCTCTAAAGCCGTTGGAGTTGCCTTTGGAGTTGTGTTTGTTTTGGCAACAGGATGGGTTAGTCAGCGTGCTCAACACACGCCCACATTTCCCATGCTACTTCATAAGCAGCTTCAGGATTTTTGAGCATATCACTTCAGCCACTTAGTTTTCACTAAGTTTTCTGACTACGCCAGTCCCGTCCGTCCTTCTCGAAGGTGAACATGTGACTGAAAACCTGCCACCGAGAACACTGTTTGATACAGAGGAGACTCAAGAGCCGTCGGCGTTTAGGAAATCCCTTCTGTGTTACTACTCCTTGTCCAACAACAGGAGTCAGCTTAGTTGAGAGGATGCGTAACACAAATATTAATGCCCTCCCCTGCATGGTGTTTCAGTATCAACGTTGCTTTCTTCCGCAAATACTAAAGCCGAGTGCTGCCCCGTTGTGAAGGAAGGTTACCTGAAAAGCTCTGTGAAGGGCTTCAATCTCTGGCTGCTTATAACTAGAATCTAACTCCGAGTCTTTCATGGACAGCTTTTTCTGGAAATGAATGTGCCAGTGCTGCCGGGAGAATTGGTTCTTCAGTCGTACAGTTCCGAAGGATTGACTCTTCAGCAGAAAAAAAAACTGCTTTAACAAGAATAAAAGGTTCTAGAGCCCTCACGCTACAAATACTGGAGGCATCAGATATTCTCCAAGTTTTTTGTTATAAGGAAAATGAGGGGAGAGTGACCTGTCTGGAACATGCAAGAACCCTGTCTTCATTGTGAAGCAAAATACGAGACGATAACTTTAATATTGTTCCCTACATAATGACTTTTGTGTCTCAGTTAAACTTCAGGACACATATTATTAAGTGTCTTTAAGATACTCCCCCCCAGGAAATAGGTTTGTATTAGCAACGCAAGCCAGTCTTAATTGGACTCTAGTTAGGCTTCCGCAAGGTGCAAACCACTTCATGTGCAGCACGATGCCTTCATTCTGCGACCCTCTGATACATAAGCCTCAAAGTAAACAAATTGTACCTGACCTTGGTTTGGGTTTCGGCTCATTGATGAACTTCCGGCTCAGGAGTCATCAGGGGCTGTCATACCCAGCAACAGATCCCAGATCTCTTTGATTGTCGCCAGCCTTTCCCTTCGACTGCTGATGTTACACCAACAAACAAGCGTAAACCAGGCAAGGTTTGACAAACTTCTAAAACCGTAAGTAACGTTAAGTAAAATTCATATTAATTAGTAATTAATTAAGCATATTCTAATAGTGCTGAAAGATTTTATTTGCTAATCTTGAACTAGGTTATTCGTTTATTCATGAGCATGTGAAACACTGAGCCCCAGCTGATGTGCAAATGAGGCACGTTGTCTATTGGAACGTGCAGGTATGGTTTTATTATTTGGTGTGTGAGGTAAGCACTTAGGAAAGGTAGAAAAA